ATACCTCAGTAGTTTTATATAATTCTTTATATTCAAATTCTAAATTTTGTGCTATATCAGGAATTTCTAATATATTTCAATACAGCTGATTAATAGCATATGATATAAGAAATACTCAGTATTATCAAGATCTAATACTTTAGTTTTCTTATATTCTAAGTTAGATTTAATATTATTCATAAACTCTTTGTCTTGTTTAATATTTTTTTGTAATAGTGATGTTGAATAATTTGAATGCTTATTAAAAAATGAAATAATAGCATTTCCAGCTGCATTACTTAGCTTATATTTAGTTACCAAAAGCATTAAATTGGCATAATCTTCATTAGGAAATTCATCATGTTTTTGATTATTACAGTTTTCAAAATGGTTGATACTAAAATATTTTGTATACTCACTATATACTAATATAAAATCATCTAATCTTAAAAAATTTTTTTGTATACTTTAAATATATTAGTTATATTTAAAGTATACAAAAAAAATTTTTAGAGTTAGATGATTCTATATCAATATACAGTGAGTATACAAAATATTTTAGTGACAACTACTGTATTTTGAAAACTATGATAATTTTATTAACAAAATTTATTAAAATTTTAGCTCTTATCTAACTTTCTTATAATAATTAAAAAAAATATGAAATTTTGATACTAATCTACATTTATTTAATACTAATTATTGTAAAAATTTCAAAACTATAACTTTTCTATTTAAAAAATTAGAGGAGGTGGGATACTTATGATTCCTACTGTAGTATAAAAAAATTGCTTTGAATAATCACTAGAAAATTTTTTCTTTTGTGTTTATAATAATTTATATATAGAACTGCATCACATTATACTATGATCATCCTTTAGTTCACTGGAAAATTATCTATTAAATGATTTTTTTTTTTTTAAAAAAAAAACAAAAATACTATATAAATCGGTTTTACAGTAGAATAGTCTTTTACTAATAGTAGATCAATTTCCATATTTGATAATATCCGAGACTAGAGTTACCAGACTCGTTCAACCTTAAGCAGCCTCGTGCAACTTTTACATTATCTCGATTTTTTATTATACAAATTGAATTTCATTATTTCATTTATAATTGAAAAATGTTAACCATATTAAAATTTACCCAAATCTAATAAAACCTCTTTTTGTTTGGAGATAGTTTCCGCCATTTCTGCTGCAAGCGCTCCATGTTTGTAATTAGACGTGCATGAAACACCAGACCTATTTACATCATTAGTTGCGTTTTATTTTTATAAACCGATTTTTTATATAGGTGATGTCATAGGTCTGCATATATAGCAATTATTATAAAATTGTTACTTATTGATCGCTACGTATTTACGTAATAAATTTTATAATATGACCGAAGCTGACTTTTAACTATATATCAATATTAACTAACTTCTACGTGATAAACGAATAGTTTATTTATTATTAAAAAATAGGAAGGGAACGCCTATCGCTATTTCCACCATGGAAATTTACTATTTCCACCAGTTGACGTAATTTTTCATGAAAATATCGATATGTTCATGTAGCTGAACGTCATGTGAAAAGCATGGTAGAAATGAACGTTCCCGATTTATTTTGTTTGAATATCCATGAATAATGCAGTAATGTTTCAAAAAGTTTTATTCGAATGAGAATTTTATTTGAATGTGAATACAAATATGTAAGTTCTAGGATGTTTAAATGCTACTAATCATTATATTCTTGAAAATTGTAAAATTAATTATTTTTGTTTATTATTATTATTATTTAAATCTACGAATTTAAACAAGATCCTGGGATAGGTATATTTGAATCAGATACATTTTCTATTCCAGAATTTTTAATACAATTATTAACAGGAGGTATTGTAGTTCTATTTGATATAACGTGTGAATTTGAATGTCCAACTCTGTTGTGTGTCATGTGACTTTTAACCAAATGTCCAGCTGCCAATGCAGCACATAAACTTAATTCTCCCGCCATAACACTGGCACATATAATTCTCGCTAATTTTTTCGCATTTTCCCCTGGATTTGTTGGATGAGGTCCTTTTACACCCAACATTTCTAACACGGCGCTTTGTGGTCCTAATATTGTTCCTCCTCCTATAGTTCCTACTTCAATTGATGGCATTGTACATGTAAGGTGTAAGTCTTTAGTATTTGTCACTGGATTATCAATAGCTTCCATTAGCGTTATACAATTTGAACTTTCAACATTTTGTGCTGGATCTTGTCCGGTCGCGATATACATTGCCGTAACGATATTTGCCGCGTGAGCATTAAATCCTCCGATACTACCTGCAATCGCGCTTCCAACTAAATTTTTTGAGATATTCAATTTCACAAGTGCTTCAACACTGGTTTTCAATACTTTCTTTACAATGTCACCGGGAATGATTGTTTCAGCAATTACGGATTTTCCACGTCCTTCAATCCAATTAATTGCTGCGGGTTTCTTATCTGTACAATAGTTTCCACTGACGCTTATTATTTGCATATCAGGAAAATGTTCATTCATTACCCTAAGTGCTTCTTCACATCCTTTCGAAATCATGTTCATTCCCATCGCATCTCCTGTAGTTGTAGAAAACCTAATAAACAATAATTTTCCAGCAACAGTAACTTTTAACTTCTTCAACCTAGCATATCTAGATGTAGAATTAAACGCCTGTTTTATAATATCATTTCCATCGTTTTCCAACCAATTTTTAGCTTTACCAGCCTGTATGATATTAGGAAATTCCACGCAAGGTCCACGAGCCATCAAATCTTGCGTCACAACAGTCTTAGCACCTCCACCACCATTAATTGCCTTGCATCCTCTAGAAGTTGAAGCAACCAAACATCCTTCGGTCGTAGCCATCGGAATATGAAATAATTCACCATCAATTTTTAAGGGACCAGCCACTCCGAGAGGGATTGGCATGTATCCAATTACATTTTCACAGCATGCACCCATAACTTTTGAATAATCGTAACCTTCCAAAGGTAACACTGAAGATTCCAAAGTTTTTGTGATTGAGGTACGTGATATAAAGGCTCTACGTATTTTTACAGCTCGTTCATTATTCTTTAATAATTTTTCTAGATTATAAGGAGGAATTTTGCCATTATTAATAAACAAAAGAATGTCTTCATCGGACATGGTTATAGGATCACTTAAATCTAGCGACTTGGAAATATCGACGGACTCAGTTGGAGGTTTGGGACTGATTTTTAAGTCATTATCTAGAGATTTAGGAATATTGACGCATTCAATTGGAGGTTTTGGATCAAGTTTTAAGTCATTATCTAGAGATTTAGGAATATTGACGCATTCAGTTGAAGGACTGGGAACAAGTTTTAAATCATTATCTAGAGATTTAGGACTGGGATCAAGTTTTAAGTCATTATTATGAGAAACAGATTTTTCAGTAGGTGCATCCCGGGAAATAATATTCGAAGTAGATGATGAAGCGACCACATCAGAAGTTTTTTCGTTAGTCTTTGATTGATTATAAGTGTTCAAAAGATAACCATTCAAAACAATAGAGAAAATTAATCCAATAAAAATCAATGGTGAGAGTACCGAATCTCGAACATAAAGAGACCAATAGTTTAAAATGGTGTCAAATATCTTGTAGAATGCAGTAATGAATGTTTGACTACCGATTACATCACTTGGATCAGCTCGAAAGATTATTGGAGAAGCCACATCGACAATTAAAGGTAAGGAAGCTTTAGGACTTGACCGATGTTGTGAAAGGATGACATCTAGAATTGGTATTGTTGTTGGATTATAATAAGAATCAGCCTTTGTGATATGAAGTGCTGAAGAGATATCGTCGGTATGAAGAGTTGTGCAAAAGTTCATCACATGCATTACTACAAAACCAATCATCTATAAAAAAAAACAGAGAATTTCAAGTAAATATTAAGAATAAAATCAAAAGAATTTATAATTAATTAATAATAATAAGCTTACAATTAACAATTTAACCCTTGAAATCATTGGATTATCAAATTTTTTTGCATCCTCTGTTTCAGCACTATTATCCTGTAAAGGCATGAAAATAAGCTTCGTGGGACTGCTTGGTAATTCATCTCTTTCAGCAGTTTTTTCAGTTGATAAAACTTTACGAATACGTTTCAACTGATAATTAATAAACAATAAGGGTAAATATATATATATATAATAAATAAATAAAATCAACAATTAATAAAATATAGAATAAAATTACCTCAAGTTTAAGAGCCAAAGCGGCAGTATAAAATGTGAACAAGAATAAACAATCATATAATAAAATAAAAGCAGCCAAAAAGCAAAACTCTTGTAAACCAGTAACGCCACTAACAGCACCAATGAATAACACGATAATTTCGATAAAATAATCCCTAATTATTTTTGGACCTTCTTCAGTTATACCAGTCATTACATTTTTGAAAGGAATCGTAGCAGATCTAATTTCTTCAATTTGAGAGGGTGGAGTTGCAGTAAGAGCTGCTTTTGTAAGAGCAACGGGCTTTTCAAAACCAACTGTTATTATTAGAAAAGGAGTCGCTTCACTGAAATTTAGAAAAATGTTAATATAAATTTGAGATGAGGTATATGATTAATCAATTGATTTATAGTAAATTTTGTAATGAAATACCATACCTTAATAATATGGGATTGACTGTGACACCGAACAATTTTATTGTCAAAAAAGCCGACATGAAAGCAAAGAAACCATTTGACAAGACGCATATAGCTATATGATTTAGGATATTTAGGATAACAGATTAAAAGACGAACATGTGATAAACTATAAATTAAAAAATAAAAAAAAGTATAAAAAAATTACCAAGAACAAATCGCGAACCAATTTTCTGCATCTGGGCGAAAAGTAAAACGAAAGTAGAAATCATCAATACGTAGCCGGTAAAAATTACTAAAATATCGATGGTATCCGCTTGCTATTGAACAAAAGAATAAGTTTTAAAATGGAAATATAAAATGTATAAAATAGAGAAAATAACACAAACCTGAATCAACTCTTGAATCTTAAAAAAAAGGCTACTGATAGCGAAAGCAAACCAAGGAAAAGAACCTTTTTTAGCAGAAGCATATGGTCTCTTCCCGGTAGAAGCAAATTGACCGACACGTAAGTCAATAATATTATCAACCCAAGCATCAGTATAAGCCAAATAAGGCCCATCAGCATTCAGAATGTAGTTCAAAATTACATCACAATTAACATCAGTGAGAGGGCCGAAAGATGAGGGTTGACAAAAAGGCCTTGTAACATTGATTTCACGAGCAGGAGAAGTTAAGGAAAAACATAAAGAATCACCGGGAAATTTATAACATAAATCATCATTATAATATAGTTTATTTGTCCCATCAGAAACATAAATTTCTTTTTCAGCAAGTTCTTGAAGTCTGGCAAGAGATTCAAAGTTTTTTTGGATAATTGATGATTGTTGATGAGGAAGAATTGAGGTATCCGGTTCGTCAAGGTGATTCTTTATAATAACTTGGTTTAATCGAATTCGTGAAGCTTGACTAATGGAATCACGTTTAGAGAGGAAGACAAATTCATTTGTATTAGGGTAAGAAATAATTTGAACCAAATCAACTTCTTGTTTAAAAAAATCTGATTCTATTAGGGATCTAAATAATGAAGCATATGTGATTGAGGCAATTATCAAGCAAAATACGATCGTTTCAAATGGATTTCGCGAAGATTGCCTTGCGATATAATTTAGTAATTTAGTAGCCATTTAATCATTGATGATAACATGAAATAAAAAAAAATTTTTTTTGTTCAGAAATGTAGTAATTAAGATAGATAAATATTAACGCAAAAAACAGAACTAGTTGTTTTTTTTTCCTAATTATTTCAAACGAAAAAAATTAGTAATCTGAGAAATCAAAAAAAAAAAAAATAAATAAAAAGAATGTATATCGATATACTGATACATACTCGTATTTTAATAATAAATGAAAATCGTTCTGAATGCAATGATTAGGTAAGGATGTTCATTTTTAAACTGGCTCCTAGTTGTTACATAACGAGAAAGTTTCAAATCATTTTATTTTAAAAAAAAAAAATTAAGCCTATTATGGAAAATTTTAAAAAAATTTTTCATATTGTTAAATTATACTGTATATTTTTTTTTATCCCCAAATTGTGTTTTTGTTTTAAAGAGGTGGCTAGTGCTAATGCACCTGAACCTAACACAGCCGACGATGTTTAGATACCTATGGAAACACATTTATTTTTGCAAAGTTTTTTACTTTTTGCACAGTTCGTTATTTTTAACGTAAAATAATGTGTATACTAGATCTCGAAAGACTTGAACGTTAGGTTAAAAATAGCAAAGTGGCTTCAAAACATCACACTTATTCCGGGTTCAATATTAGTGCTGTATTTGTTTTAACAGAACGTTAACGGTGGGGTGTTTGGTCGACTAATTGTGACAAATATATGTATAGTTCCCTAATTAAACCAATTAGTACAGTTTTT